CGACCCGGCGGCCCGTCGGCTGGGTCGCGCGACCCGGGCGGCCGTCGGCTGGTAGGTCGTGCGACCTCGGGCCTCGTCGCCCGAGGTCGGCGTCCCTCGCCGGGGGTCGCTCGGCGACGGGCGACGGCTGCCGGCGCCAGATCTGGCTCGCCGGCGGCCGTAGCCCTTCGCCGGAGCCGTAGCCCTTCGCCGGAGCCGGCGAAGGGTATTTTTGCCTTTTTTTTAAAAAAACCCCCTCAAAGCCCATTTGTAAAAAAAATTAACCAAACACCACTTGGGTCAAAATAGCTTTGCAAATGAGTTTTTACCAAACGCCATTTGCATTTTTCCTAAAGGGCTTCCACCCAAAGGCATTTGCATTCCCAAAGTAGCATTCCAAATGCTGTACCAAACGCACCCTTATAAAAGTCTTTTTGTTGGTTTAGAATAATGTATAACTCACGTTACTATTCAATGCCAAACACTTAATTCTATATGCTAATTAATCGTAGTGACACGGGTTATCTTAAGTCAAATTTGAAGAGGTTCTTTTGCCAATAAAACAAGCAACCAACTTCTTAGTAATATGTCAATATTAAGGTGCGTTTGGTTGAGGGAAAATATTTTTCGGGAATCCGTTTTCCGGACTTTCACCCATTTGGTTCACCGAAAATAATTAGTCAATTGAAAACACTTTTCGATTAAGGAAAACATTCATGTATAAAATTAGGAAAGTGAATTTCCTAATCTAAGAAGGTGAAAACACTTTTCGGAATTACTTCCCTTGACTTTTTTTAATATTTTATTATTTTCTTTCTTTTCTTTCTTCTTTTCTTTTCTTTTTTATTTTTAAAATAAAAATATTAAAAAATTCGAAATTATTTTTTTGCCCGAGATAAAATCATGAGATTGAAATCATTTTCCAAATAAGATCCAAACACCAGAAAACGTTGTCGATCACATATCACCAAATAAAGGAAAACGAACTATTTTCCTGAAAAATGATTTTCCGAAAAGTATTTTTCAAAAAAGTTACGTTTTCCGTGAAATAAACGCACCCTTAATCTCAGTTATAACCTTTCTAATGCAAAGTGAACTGCATAGGTTCCACCCGGAAATCAAAACATTAAATACAATTATCATTAGGACTTCAAATGATTCAGAATAGTACTAAGTTCATTATGTGCGAACATCATATCATGTTTCATTCTACCTTAAATTTTTCGAATTTTACATGACTATGTCCAATTCATGTTCACATGTTTATACAGGCATCGGTTAGTGCTGGCACGGAGGCTACAGCAACTTCCCTAGAATGGGCAATGTCTGTTCTCCTAAACAACCCAGATGAATTGAAGATGAGTGATTGAATTAGGGTTAGGGGCGATGATTCGGTGCTTTGAGCGGAAAAAGGGATGGAGAAGAGGCGATCAACATGAAGGAGGGACGCGACTTTCGATGCCGAAAATGGAGCCCTTAGAGGTTTTGTATAGACCACGCGAATCCATGATCCATCTCCTCTTGACCTGAGGAAGAAGAGAGGGGCTGAGGCGTTGGGAATTGGCTGTGAGTGGGCATCGAATTGGCGTTGGACAGGCTGTCCAAGTTGGTGGAGGTGGTGGCCACAGCAGGGGAAGGCGACCGCTCACTTGGATTGAAAGTTTGCATGTGTAGATGGTGTGAGGTTAGGGTTTTTGAGTCTTTTACACAATTAGAAGTGTGTTTTTCTTTGGTCATAGGGTGGAAAAAAGATAGATGCGCAATCCCCATGTTGTTATATACATCAGTGACAAACTCAATGTTACTTGTCCTCTATTCTAAGAGTTGTAGGAAAAAGAACAAAAGAAAGAACCCTTGATCCTATTGGGTAGATCATGTCGGATTTTGCGGAAGCATGTGTGCAAGTGGATGTGAATTATACGTGTGCTATCACGGCAAGGAGATGAGAAATGGCAAACGACAGACAAAGTGGAGAAGAAAGGGGATCTTATAGGATAGTTTATAGAGAGCGGAGAAGCTTTCTTCGTACTTGTGGTTGGAGTTTCTAGTTATCCGTACAATTCCATGGATCATGTATGATGCAAAGAAGCCTAATTACCGGCATGATCCACTGCCTATGAATTCGAAGACAAGCATGACTGACGGACTTTGACAAGTAGACTCTAGTTATTTAAGTTGGTCATCTCTTTCACTACAGTACAAGCTTGCTGGATATTCTTCTTGATCAAGTTTCTGACTTCGAAATGTTTACTCACAACTTGCAGCTTTCCTTAACTTGAAAGGTTTCGTTTCTCGTCTTCCCTTCACCGCCTAAGACTTTTTACGGCTGTCATTTCTTGCTTTTCACGTGAGATTAGAGAAGTCTACACAAAAATGGGTCATTTATTCAACGGTTATGTTCTCCCTTCAAGAGAAGGAATCGCAATGTTATACCGACCAAATCTTGAGAGCTACGTTTGGTCATATGAATTTCTAGTCAGGATAGGAATGGAAATGATATGATATGAAATTTAGGGATTTTGTTATACTATATCGACTGTTTGATGAATCGAAGTAATTAAGCCGGATATTTTCATATTTTTTATCATATCCATTATTCGGTATGAACGACATATCGATGTAAATGGATTCGAAAATGCAAAACGGAGATGGTTAGAATTTCTTATGATTTAGTGCTTAAGAAATTACAAATGCACAAATGGAAACAACCTCAATCAATAAATTCATAATTATTGTACAATCTACATGTTAAACAAGTTCGACGATGACGAGAAATGTAAACGGGTTATACCAACATTGACAAGGTAAATCAACTAATGAACCAAATCTAGTAAAAGAGAGAAAACATGATTATTCACCTTCACGATTCCAAAAAGTTCAATGCTTTGTCTCTCTCGTCACTTTCATTAAACTTCAACATGAACCACAAAATTATGGAAAAGAGGCATTTCGACTCTTTTGCTGCTTTTGTGGATATTTGGCGTGAAAAGGAACTTCAACTCTCTCGTCGTTTTCGTGGAATCTTTGACGTGAACAAAAAACTATGGTAAGAATTTCTTATTTTATATTTAATTATTATTTTAATTTTTTTAAATTTAAAAAGTTTGTTATTCGAGATAAATAGATTTTATGCCATGAATATAAGAAATCATATTCACATTTATCCCACCTCCCCATGGGATATTTTTATTCATGCTATATCCTGCTTATATCCTACTTTAACCTATCTTGGACAGGAACCAAATACGGGATAGGATAAATTATATTATATTCCGACTTTTATCCCGGCTACCAAACATGGCCCAAGGGTATCATACCGGTACCCATGGTTGCTTTTCTCCTTAAATATCTTAATATAATAAGGTCAACTTGACTAATAAACAAGGACATGAACTTATAAAAGTCTTTTTATTGGTTCAGAATGATGTATAGCTCACGTTACTTTTGAATGTCGAACAAGTGATTCTATATGCTAATTAATCGTCGAGACCCGAATTAGCTTAGAAGTCATATTTTAAGGGGTTCTTTTGCCAACAAAACAAGCAAGAAACTTGGAAGCAATTTATTAATATTAATCTCAACTATAACCTTTAAGATGCAAAGTGAACTGCATAGGTTCCACCAGGAGACCAAGACATTAATTAGAATAATCATTAGGAACTTCGAATGATTCAATGTAGTGCAAACTTACTATCCCCGAACATCATATCGTGTTTCATCGCACGTTAAATTTTGCGTATGAATAATGAAGTGATTGCAATGTTCCTGGGTATCATGTGGCCAAAGGCACCACGTTATTAGTGAATTCATGGACCATCCATAGGGACCCTAAGCTTTGGGAGGAACCAACTAAATTCATACCAGAGCGATTTGAAAATGGGGGTGATCAAAGAGAAAAGTATAATAATAATTTCGAGTTTCTTTTGTTTGGTGTACATACACGTTCCTTAAAAACAAGTATGTTAACCAAAATAATCAACGGCTGATCATTAATCTCATATCATCATCAGTGATGAGCACATGTCGAAAGTTTTTTATCCAATAACTACGGTGTTGGTAGTGGCGGCGCACGTCTAGGTTCGGCTTCCTCTACACCATCGTCGTACAAAGGCAACCAAAACAAGTTAAATAAACACAAATCTAACTTTTGGAAGAGCAAATCATCATAGTTAAGCGAGTCGTCAAAAATTTAGCGGTCACCATTGAAACTGGAGGCAGAGAACCTGTACACAAGCAGCGCACGACGGTATCAAATCTCCGAAATTATTATTAAACTCCCAAATTTAAATCAAGAGAACTCCTAGATCTAGAATTAAATTAGGAGAGTTCAAACTCTTATATCTAGAACTAGACCAGGAGAAGAGAGCTGCCAGATTTAGATAGAGAAGAAAAATTAAAAAAAAAAAACAAGAATGCTCAAACAAAATCAACAAGAGAGGGAGGGGAGGGTGAGACTAACTCAAACCCTCCCCCATGGCTGAAGCTTGAAGAAAACAATGGAGAGTTTGAGGTGTAATTGAGCAATTTTTCTACCACTTGAGTGCTACAACTTCTAAAAAACGTTCATCCGAGTGTCAAAATATTTAATCGATCACCCGAGTGCCATCACTTTTTAAGAACGTTCGCCCAAGTGCTGGAAATCCGACATGGCATGGTACTTGTGAAAAACGTTTTTCAAAACTTATGGCATTCAAGGGAACGATTGAAAAATTATATGACACTCAAGTGATCAAAAAAAAAAAAGAAGTTATGACACTTGAGTGAGCGACATGCATAAATGATAGCACTTAAGTGATCAGAAAAAAGAATTATGACACTAAAGTGAACGTTGTACGAAAGTTATGACACTTATAGTGTTTATTTCTCTTAATTTTAGCATGTTATGTGGAAAAGCTTAATTAAATGGGATACGTGAAAGAAGAGGCAAAGGGACCACATCAACGCGATGCATGATTAGCTTCCGTCCAAGAGCAATATAAATATCAGGCTTACACAATAATCAAGAGCAAAAGACATAATCCATGGAGGAGTCAATAAGTTTCCGAGCGTTGCTCTTCTGTTCCTTCGCTTTTCTCCTTCTCTTCATCTTGAAGTTAGTCGCTCGAAACCATGCAAGCCCTAAAAGCCGGAAACTCCCACCAACTCCTCCTTCTCTTCCCATTTTAGGTCATCTCCACCTACTCAAAGAACCACTTCACCTCACCCTGCACAACCTCTCGGAGAAGTACGGCGCCGTCTTGCTCCTCAAATTTGGCGTGCGCAACGTCCTCCTGGTCTCCAACCCATTGGCAGCCGAAGAGTGTTTCACGAAGAACGACATCATCTTTGCCAACCGCCCTCGCACCATCGCTGCGAAACACTTGAACTACAATTGGACCACCATGGGGTTTTCGTCTTACGGCAACCACTGGCGCAACCTCCGACGTTTCACCACAATGGAAATGTTCTCCTCGGCCCGTGTCGCGATGTTGTCCCATGTTAGGTATGATAAATTTGAGGAATTGGAGCGAGCTTTTCCAGATCATTTGGAATGCTATAAAAGGTTTTAAATTTAGATTGAATGAATTGGATACGGGGTAATTGTGATTTTGTGAAATGCAGCATGACCATTGAGCTCCAATTCACAAATCCATAATCTTTTTTCCATCATTGAGACGAAAAAAGAAAATCGATTTCACAACTTGAAACAAGCATTACGAACTAAATGCCATAAGCGCATGTCTCACCCCTTACATGAAATTCATGCCACAGTGCTTTTTCTTCCTTTTTTCACTCATAAGAGACGGTGAAGCAAAACACCTAACGGGGCTGATGCCTAAAACTCCACGTCTTTCTCTTAAATATTCACACGGCCATGCAAATGCAGATATGGAGTGTATTCTTCGCCCATTTCTAGTACATGATGAGTTTATAATCTATGGTAAGTACTGATTGATTAATAGATACGGTTATTCACAAAACTCATCTTGTCAGGCATGATGAAGTTAGCAGATTGGTGAAAGAACTATTTCAAGAGTCGAAGCAAAGGTGGACGAAGGTGGAAATGAAAACAAAATTAAGCTCATTCACCTTTAATATCATGATGAGAATGATCGCAGGAAAGAGGTACTGCGGGAAAGATGTCATCAGCGAAGAAGCCACAGAATTTCGCCGTATCATGTCAGATTCCCTGGAGCTTCAAGGCAGCGCGAACATTGGCGACTATTTGCCAATCTTCCAATGGATAGATTGTCAGGGTTTGGAGAAGCGGGTGATCAAAGTGGCGAAGCGAATGGATCGATTTTGCCAGTATTTGGTTGACGAAGGTAGAGGAAAAATGAAAGAGTGTACCCAGAAAGACAGGAAGATGACCACATTGATTGATGTTATGTTATCCTTGCAAGAGAAGGAACCGCATATCTACACTGACCAAATATTAAAGGGTGCCATAGTGGTAATACATGCTTCCTTTCCATTGTCTGCAATTTGGTAGCATATGTTTTATAAAGGCATCTCCATTGCATAAGCTAAATAATATTTAAATGGCAGATAATTAACTTCATTTTAGGTTTCTTTTTCAAGGTACTGCTTCATTATCAGAAGCAAAACAAACTGTACTTTTTAAACAACTATCAATTGCTATTACGTTGCAACACGTATCACGAAGTCGATAGATGAGTCTAGTTAAGGTTAACTTTTGATTTTTCCTTTTCCAACCAGATGCTATAATGAAACTTCAGTTTCTTATTGAAAATCAGTGCATATGATTTGCACTTCCTAGGTGAGAAGTACATAGTGAATTCTGCCTAACCAAGGTCAGCTCAGTCTACTAACTAATATTGTGGATTAACGATACATAAGAAATTTTCAAAAGCCTTTTTTAGATTGTGATTCGTGTTGTTCATTTTATTGTTGAATATCGGACTTTGCGATTCTATAGAGTAATGTATCATAGAGATACAGGTCGTCTTAAAGATTCAATTTCTATAAGTATGCAGGAATTGCTTGTTGCCGGCACCGAGACTTCATCAGCCACCCTTGAATGGGCAATGTCTCTTCTCGCGAACAACCCAGAAAAACTTGAAAAAGCTCAAGATGAGATTAAAGCTCACGTCCAACCAGACCACCTTATCACCGAACAAGACCTACCAAACCTTAGTTACCTCCAAAACATTCTCCATGAGACATTGCGGTTGTTTCCACCAACGCCACTTTTAGTACCCCATCTATCATCAAGTGATTGCAATGTTCTGGGGTATCACGTGCCCAAAGGCACCATGTTACTGGTGAACCTGTGGACTATTCAGAGAGACCCTAAGCTGTGGGAGGAGCCAACAATATTTATACCAGAGAGATTTGGAGGTGATCAAGGAGAAGGTTACAATGGTACGTTCAAGTTTCTTCCATTCGGTTCCGGAAGGAGAGCCTGCCCTGGAGCTAATTTGGGAAGAAGAATGATTGAACTGGGATTGGGGGCATTGATCCAGTGCTTTGAGTGGAAGAGGATTGGGGAAGAGGAGATCAACATGGATGGAGGGACAGGGCTCTCGATGCCGAAAAAGGATCCTCTTGAGGTTCTCTGCAGATCGAGTGAATCCATGACTCATGTGCTCTCCAGAATGTATGAGAGTTGATTCTATGGATGTAAGATTCACTTAAACTTGATTCTTTATCGAATAAAATGTACAAGGGTTAAAGCAATTAAATAAAGCGGTTGACCGTTGATATATACCTTTGAGAACATAACAAAAAGCAAGTCCTCACTTTTTACTTCTACTACTTTTTTTGCATCCTCTGTTTCTAATCACAAGTTTGCATCCTAACTTTCGATATTGGATACCAATTAAAAGAATTAGCTAACCGAAGCTTCAGCCACAAAAGTCGAAGTGGTTGCAGCCACCGTTATCATCGTCCGCCATAACAACCTGAGGCTGTACGACGTCCCCACGGAGTTTTTGGCTCAGGGTGCAAAGCAATAGTTTTAGAAATAAGGTTTCGTTTTAGGATGTAAGGTGTTATTTCAGAATTAGCACTTTGTCTAAGGATACAAAGCGAAGAAAATTCATGGTTTTTTACCCATTAATCGATTTTGGCTAATTTGATTGGTTTTCTTGATTGTCCTCTAAAGTTATCTCGCTTATATGTACATGAATGGCAAACAATACTAAGTTCAATGTGCTATTGGCGCCTCCAATAGGGCATCTCTCCAATCTGCCTGACCATATTGAAGGAAATAGTTAGCTCTTCCTATACCTCCATCTAGTATTTATTCCCTTAACCAGCTAATAAGCAATTGTTTCCCGCTTAACCTCTCCATTCTGCTGAGCTAAATCACAAACAGCTACATAACCAAAGAAGATATCTAAATTGAGACCCAAGAAAGTCTTAACATATAAGAACTATTATCTTAGAAAATGATAGATTATAGGGAGCAAAATCTTCAGAAGCTCGAGCACAACTACAAGAAAAAGCTCAGTGTTGACACCTATTTTTAATTTGCCCAAAATTAATTGCACAAAATTTAGGAATTAATTTTCTTTAATTCCTAAAACAAAAATATTTCTATTTAAATGCATTGCATATAGACATTAGGCATATGTGCATTAATATGGCCTATTAGAGCATATTTTCTTATATTTTAAACAAAAATTTAAAAAAAAAAAAAATTTCGAGTCGGGCCGGGTCGGAGCTGGGCCGACCCGGCCCATTTCCTTTTTCCTTTTTCCCCCCGGGCCCGGCCCTTTTTCTTTTCGTTTTTTCCCCCCACGAGGGCCCGGCCCGCCTTCTTCTCCTTTTCTCCTTCTCCCCACGCCGGTTGGGCCTGGCCCGGCCCGGCCCTCCTCCTTCCTTCTTCCCCCCCCATCGCTCTCGCCGCCCTTGTTCGCCTCTGTGCTCGACGGAAGCGTGACGCACGGCGGCGCCGCTTCTCGCCGTCGCTGTCCGGCCAGAGGAAGGCCGAAGGAGCACGCCGACGGGACTGGCATTAATTGCCAGTCCCGTCCTCCCCGTTTCCCCGGCTCCCTTATCCTCTCCTCCTTCCTCTCTGCGTTTGTGTTGAACCGGCCCCCCTGCTCTGCTCTGCTCTGCACCGGCCTATAATGGCCACGAAAGTCGTGGCGTGGCGTAGGCCGGTGCAGGCCGTCGTCACGCCGACACAGAGAGGCAGAGAGACACGTCGTCGCCGCCTATAAAAGCCAGAGAGAGAGAGAGCCGAGGTCGGTGATTTTTCAAAAAAACAGAGACGGTCGGCCATTTTAGAGGAAAACACAGAGAGAGCGTGAGAGCGTGAGCCGGCAGAAACAGGAAGCCTCCGGCAGCCACCGCGCCTCAGCCATCCAACCCCATCGCCGAGCCGACAGCGACGACACAGAGAGAGAGAGAGTGGGTCGACCAATTTTGAGAGAGAAAACGGAGAAACCAAGAGAGGAGAGAGAGAATAGAGAGGGAGAGAGAGTAAACCGAGGTCCGCCGGAGCTAAAGAAGAACCAGCAGCGGTCGTCGACGCCGCCAGACCTGCCGGAAGCCGCCCAGACGCGCCGTCGACCGGTGAGCCCCCCTCGGCCGCGAAGCTCCCCTGTTTTCCCCTGATTTTTGGCTCGGTTTGGCCGAGACCCGCGCCGGCCGTTTCGCGCGAATCCCGGCCCATACCGTCGTCGGTCCCAACTCCTAGTCGCCGTCTCTGAGGTGAACCCAAGCCGCCGGAGTCGACCGGGATCGCCGGAGGAGGCCGGAATCCCCCGTTTTTCACGCGCCCGCCAAGCGTTCGACGAAATGCCTCAACCACGCCGGTTTTTGTTTCATCGCCGGCCGGCGAACGGTGGTCCGACGGCGGCTCAGGTGAGTGGCACAGCCCACAGGCGGTCCTAGTCGGGCGACTTGGGGGCGGCGCTGGCCTGGGTCAGCCGGCGGACGGCCAATTTTGGCCTCGCGGCGCCTCCCCACGGGTCCGTTTGTTCTGGGTCGGATTCGACCCAATCAACAGATCCGACCCGGTCAACGCCCGGCCGGATCCGTTGACCCGGGTGCGGTTCCGACCGACCCGGATATCAGCCCGACCCGGTCAACGCCCGGGTCGATCCGTTGACCCGGTCGGTTATGACCGACCGGATTGATCGATCCAACCCGGTCAACGCCCGGGTCGGATCATGACCCGGTCGGACCCGACCCGACCCGGTTATTATTATATTATTTTTTTTCCCAAAAAAAATTTTTTTTTAAAAAAAAAATTTTTCTTTTTTTTTCTCCGTATTTATTTATTTATTATTATTTTTTTAAAAAAAAAATTCCAAAATTTTTTTTTTAAAAATTTGTGTGATATATTCTAAATGCTTAATTTATTGTAGTATTATTATGCATATTTTTGTCTTATTTAAATTAGACAAACCTGAGATTGCGCGGTAATATTTTGCATGTTATGTTTATTATCGCTGTATTGTTATGCATATTTTTGTCTTGTTTAAATTAGACAAACCTGAGATTGCGCGGTAATATTTTGCATGTTATGTTTATTATCGCTGTATTGTTATGCATGTTTTTAATACAATTGCATGAGCGTTGTGTTTTTGAATGTCATCTGACTTAGTTAAAGTTAGAACCTTAGGCTGCATGAATTGTTGTGTTCCTGACTGCTGATCGTTCCTGATTATGCACTCGCTTGATCACCTCACATGTTAGGAGAAAGGTCCTAAAATCAATCCAAATTGCCTGACAAATGTTTTCAGAAATGAACAGGGTAAAATGGTACCGAAAGGGCATTAGTTATCCAACTAGTGTAACCAAGTCCCCGAACTCATTTAATCTCTGGTTCGTAGGAATAGGGTGATTCTCCCATCACCCTATTTGGGTTTCTAATCGACCCACCCCAAATCGATTAGTGGCGACTCCTTGATATAAACCACTTGCATGTTAAACACTTAAACCCTAAGTCGCGATATGGTATGGGCTTGGGAGAGCCCGAGTTAAGTCCCGAACCTAGACTTAGCACGTACCAGGCGAGCCCCCCTTTTTTGCATGTTGTTTAAAAAAGGGCTCGGGAGTTCGGTCGCGACAGACTGGCGACTCCGCTGGGGACTTGTTGTTTTTTAAAAAAAAGTGGGCTTAGGCCAAAAATTTTATCCTGTTCAAAATAATTTTTGTTTGGCAGCAAGGACTCCAGGTACGATACTAACATTAAGGTGTTATTTGTGCTTGCAGGTTCGAATTGATTGTTTATAATTTGTTGTGCATGCTTTAATGATTTAGCACTACACCGTTGCACACACAGCCACGCTGCCGGACCTGGGCCGCGATAGGGCATGTTAGGATGGTGTTAAGAAAGATACGACCTCGAACGCGAGCCCGCGATGTAGAGGTTGCCTTTCTTTTCCCCGAAATTTATTTCTAAAAAATCGTAAAGAAGTATCTTTAGCCGCTATTCGCGTGACTATAAGATATTCCTTTCGATTTGGCCGAGGTTAAAAGGACTTGACACCAACGCGAGACTGCGACGGTCAGGCACTCTTTTAACTTCATGTTGCTAAGCCAGTCTAGATAGAAATCGAACCTCACTCCTCATGTGTATGTCGTTGTGATTGCCATGGTTCAAGGAAAGGTATATATTCTATCCCTTCTCATTTTTTTTATATATATACGGCCTACTTATTCAATTGATTTGTTACTGTTAGGCCACCCGTTGATTGCAGTCTATATACCAGGGATACGCTTATTGCGGAGCTTGTCCGTAAAAATAAGCGCCTCCGAGAGACCGTGATTTCCCCATCGTTTATAAAATGAGTATCCGGGAAAGACACCCTTTTGTTAAAAACCCCGTCTTTTATATTTCCCTGTATTTATGTTCAGGGATTTTGGTTATCTCCTGTAAAAATGTTTTTGGGTTGTACAAATGTTAATATAACTCGGGCCGTTTTTTATGCTTTAAATAAAATTTTTTGCCCCTTAATGACACCATCGCGGCCTTCGGCCCAGTGGTATCCGGGGATGAGCAGTCACGGTCCGAGGCGACCGGGGTTCGAACCCCGGGGACGCCGCCTGTAATGTTAATATTAATAAAAACCTTTTTTGCTTATTTTTTTTTTGCAAATAAAGAAAATATGCAATAATAATATGAATAAGTCATAGAATGATTCTTTATTGGGCATTATACTCATTCATATCAGCGTTTTCTCAGGTAGTTACAAAAATGGCCGAAGAAAACGTCCGTCTCAATAACATGGAAACCGAAATGAAGCAGGTCTTCGCCTTTCTTCAACGACTCTCAAAACAAGTGGAACATCTGTCGGTCCGCTTAGACCAACTCACCATGACTCCGCTTCGCAATCCAAGACCAGGGGTGATGATTCAAATGGAGCCATCCAGTGTCAACCAGAAGGGTAAAGATGTCATAGTTGACAATGTCCACAAGTCCCCTGATCCTAAGGAATTGAGCACCCTATGCCCAAAGTTCATGCAACGTGAACAATACAAACCCGGTATCCCTCCACCCCAAAGGCAAAATAACAAAAAACAGTGCATGCCACTCCCTTTGCCTATGTCTCAGATCCTGCTTATTCTCCTGGACAAGAGGTTGCTTGCTAAAGAGCCAAAGCGTAAAAATCCTGAGCGTTTCCCCAACTACGATCCCTCCAAGGCATGTGAC